CCGCATCCGGCCCTGTCGCGCCGGGCCCTGGGAGGGAGGATCCAGCCCTGCCCCACCGGCTCCTTGTAAGGGAACCTCCATCACCCCTCAGGGCCCTGCCAAGATCCAGGATTGCTCCAACAGATCCTTGTAAGAGATCCTACAGTAACCCAGCAGGCAGATGAGATCCTAGGGATAATCCATGAGTGCCCCACAGACTCTCCATGGGACCCTGCTGTCACCCAGCGGGACCCTGCTGCCCCCAGCCCCCTCGGAGCCTTGGTATGGCCCTGCCAGGACCCAGAGCTGCTGCCAAAAGGCTTCAGGTGGCAGAGCCCGTGCGGAGCGAGCAGCCATCGCTGCCTGCTCGCACTCACACACACATGGGCTGTGCACACACGCACACGCACACACAGCCCCGGGCAGGGGGTGCCCTGGCACAGCCTGGCTCACACTCACACTCACACTCACGCTCACGCTCACACAGGATGCACACACACACACACACACACACACACACACACAATCCTGCTCACACTCACACACACTCACACTCAAACTCACACACTCACACACACTTGCACTCACACACACATGGATGCACACACACACTCACACACACAATCCCGCTCGCACTCACACACAAACACACACACACAGGATGCATACAAACACACAAGCCCCACTCACACACTCACACTCATACGGGATGCATACACACACAATCCCGCTCACACTCAGTCACACACACACACACACACATACTCACACTCTCAGCACAGCCGGGCCCGCTGCGTGCACGCGCTGCCGGGGTTGCATCAGCTGAATTCATTACCCGGCTATTTTTACTAATGCAGCAAATCAAGTCTCTGTACCGGCGGAGCGCACAGCCCGGCACGGAGCGCTGTGCCGAGCACGGGCCCGGGCTTTGTGCAGCCTCCGGGGCGCTGAGCTCGCTGGGGCTGCCCCGGGCGGCGGCGGGGCCGGGCTGGGGCCGGAGCTGCCTGTCGGAGCACACGGCAGGGATGAACACATGCACACATCCCCTGCAGAGCTGCTGCGCGGGTGCTGCTGCTGCCCCCGGCCCTGATCCCGCTGGATCAGAACGGTGCACAGCACCCAGCTCCAGTCTGGGTCTCCTCAGGGGGTTTGGGTCACCCCAGCAGTGCAGAGGAGCTGCTGGAGACTGGAGGAGCCACTGCTTCTCCTGGAGATGCAGGAGCAGAGGAGAGATGCTCCATGCCTGGAGATGCTGTGTGTGTCTGTGTGTGTGTGTGTGCACAGGTGGATTTGGGCTCCAGCACTCACACAGGTGAGCTGGGACAAGCTCAGAGCACAGCTCCAAACTCAGTGCTGCCTCTTCCTTGCTGTACAATCCAGGAATTCACAGTAAGGAAAGGCCTTGCGTCTCCAGCTGACCCTGGAGAGCTGCTGTTTGTGTGATGGGAGCTGGGAAAATCCCTCCTGGGGCTGCCCTGAGAGCTCCAGGGGAGACCCAAGGGCTGAGAGCAGCTTTCCTGCTCCCTTGGAGGCTCCCAACGGTGCCAAGGAGCTCATCCCACCTTGCAGTGGACCAAGAGGCTCGGGAAGGGCTGGGGAGTGACTGGTTTGAGTCCCAGTGCTGGGGCTGCTTCTCTCAGTGCCAGCCAGGCTGGTGAATCCATGGCTGCCTCTTGCAGCTCATGGCCAAGCAGAGGAGCTGTCACGGCAGGAACCCCCAGCACAGCAACCTCTCAGGCCCCACAGCCTGCCCAAAGGTCAGGCTCGGGATTTGCAGGGTCAGCCCCATCCCCTGGGAGCTGGGAAAAGCTGGCTGGGGTGCCAGCACCAAGCTCTGCTCAGGTCCCACTGCTTTGGGGAGAGAGCAGCTCCTGTCTGGGGGCACTGGGAGAGCAGATCCTGTCTGGGGGCACTGGGGGATGCAGCTCCTGTCCCCAGCCCTCAGCGTGGGGGGGAGACAGAGCTCCAGTCCCAAGCCTGCCCAAGAAAAACTTCCTCCCAACAGGGCTCCCTCTGCCCACCAAGCCCCTCCTGCAGCAGCTCTCAGCTCTTTGCTGAATCCCCTTCTCCCAGAGACAGCAAATCCTGACCTCTCCTTTCCCCAGGCAGCCCCTTGTCCCCTTGGGAGGAACCCTCCACCCGAAAGGAGCACGGGAGGGACAGACTGAGGCAGAGCTGGAGCCCTGCTCCCTTCCCCTCCAGCCTCCTCTGGAGATCTTCACTCTCACACCATGGAAAGGTGTTTGTACTTAAGCCAAGCTCCTCCCTGCTCCCCACTGAGGCAAGGAGGGAGCAGCTCCTCGTGTGCTGAGTCCTGCCCAGCCTGGCCTCCTCTCACTACAGCCCCATCCAGAGCCCAGTGACCGCTCCCAGCGTGTCCCAGCCCTTCCCTCTGCCCAGCAAGGGCTGAAATGCACAATCCCCCGAGGAGCCAGGAGAGCTGTGTCCAAGCACAGGATGTGGATGAGCTCCTCAGGTCCTGCTGGGGTTTGTGCCTGCCCAAACCCTTCAGCCCCCCAGGCACGGTGACAGCCACACGAGCAGTGATGGCACTGATGGCACTGGTGGCACTGATGGCCCTTTTTCCCTGGCCTTGGGGTCAGGCAGGGGCCCTTGGCACGAGGCTGGTGGGACACCAGGACAGGCAGTGTCCAGCCCTTGGTGGGCTGTGGGTGCTGAATGCCAGCACGGGCTCCAAAAGCCAACAGGCACCATCCTGCTCCTGCTCCTGGTCTCCTGCTTGCCCTGTCCGAGAGCTGGGCATGGATCACCCCTCCAGCAGGGAGGAGCGGGTCCTGCTGAGCTGTGCCCTCCCCAAACCCTGCCCTGCTCCTCCCCAGCTCCTCCCGTGGGCCCGGAGCCCCCAGCACACGTGGCTGTCCCCGTGGCAGGTGGGCAGGGGTTGGGAGGGGGATCTGCCAAGGAGCTCTGCTGCCTGCACACCCAGCGCTGCTCCCTCCCACAGCTCAGCTCCCACTCGCCTCCCAAATCCCCTCTGGGGGTGCAGCTCCTGCTCAGGCACTGCTGGCAGCTGCAGGAGATGGGAGATGGGGACACAGCTCCAGGCAGGACCAGGTGGCTTTGCCACGGAGCTGCTGAGCCAGGCACAGCTTCAATCTGCAGAGCAGAGGGGCAGCATCCAACCTCCAACCTCCAAACTCCAAGTGCTCCCACTCCTGTTGTCCTTCTGTCTCCCCACATGATGGTCACCACGGCTGTGACCCCACTGGAGGGGACAAGGGAACCCTTTCCCCACTCTCACCTTACCCTGGCCCCAGCGAGGGTCACCCCTTCCCCAGGAGCAGATTTGGGGTGGCAGGAGGGTCCCAGTGCCAGGGGTGCCCATCCTGCTGCTCCCCTGTGCCCTGGAGCTGCTGGCATGGGCAGGGGAGCAGGCAGAGGGATCGATGTGGGGGAAGCCAGCTCGGGGAAAAATAGATATCTAGCTCATTAAAAATGGATGCTTGAGCGAGTCCTCCCCACTCCAAAGCCACCTCCCTCCCTCTTCCTGGTAGCCAGAGTGAAATCAGCCCCAGCTTCAGAGGAGGGGAGCTGCCAGCACGCACGGGGCTCGCTCTGTGCCCGCTGCTCCAGCCTGCTGAGCACCCCGGGGTGCTGTGACACCCCAGGCCCTGGGCACAGGGTGGGCATGGAGAGGCCCTGCCACCATGCTCTGCCCTCCCCTGGCAGGCACTGCCACGTCCCAGGGGCACCAGCAGATGCCCAAGAGGCACCACCTCAGCCCATGGCACCCCTGGATCCCCACACGGCCAAGACTTGGGGGTATCCAGCTGCTTGCTGCCAGAACCCCGTGCCTCAGTTTCCCCAGCCATTCCATGGGGTCGAGTCTGCCTGGCCCCCAGCCCCACACGCTGATCCCCCTGCCCCTCCTCATCCTCCCCACCAAAACAAACTCCTGTTCCCATCCTGGGCTGATGGGAGATCCATGGATCCATGCTGGGGTCTGCAGGACCCCCCTCAGCCCCATCCCAGCCAGGGCCTTTCCATTCCTCCATCCCCCTGGGCTCTGGGAATGGGGGGGGGGCTGCCCCTGTCCCCCATCCTTGGTTGGAGTCACCCTGCATCCCCAGAAAGCCACAGCGAGCTTTTGGGGTGTTTGGGTGTTCGAGTGCAGCCTCGGGGATGCCAATGGTGCCACCAGGGAGGACAAGAGGAATTCTAGAGGCTGGAAGGGGGCAAACATCAACCCCACACTGGGACATCCGTGTCCCTACAGCGATTGCCCTTCCACCCCCATCCCAGGATTTTAGAGGAATTTCAGAGGCTGGAAGGGGGCAAACACCAACCCCACACTGGGACATCCACGTCCCTACAGCGCTGTGCCCTTCCACCCCCATCCCAGAATTTTAGAGGCTGGCAGCAGAGGTGGAAGGGGGCAAACACCAACCCCACACAGGGATATCCATGTCCCTACAGCAATGTGCCCTTCCACCCCCTTCCCAGAATTTTAGAGGCATTTTAGAGGCTGGCAGCAAAGATGGAAGGGGGCAAACATCAACCCCACACTGGGACATCCACGTCCCTACAGCGATGTGCCCTTCCACCCCCATCCCAGAGCAGTCCTGCCTCCCTCGGGATGCCCTGATCCCCCTTTCCCTGCCTTCCCCACCCGCTGCTGCCCGGCCATGCTGGGGAGGGGGGGACGGACACACAGCACATCCCATCCCATCCCATCCCCTCGCCCCCCACATCCCCCTCCCCACAGCGAGGGGGCGGAGGGGGCAGCACCGCGGGGCGGGGGAGGCTCACAGCGACCTCCATCCTCTGCCGAGCCGTGGGAGGCGGGGGCGGCGGGGGGGCACCGGACCGGGAGCCCCGGGGCCGGGCCGGCTCCGCTCCGTTATATAACGCGGCTCCATGATGCGGGATGCGGCTGGGGCGGCCGCGCTGCCGGTGCCGGGATCGGTACCGACAGAACGAGCACCGGCACCGACCCCGGCATCGCCATCGAGCCCGGCACCGGCTTTGTGTGGGAAAGGCTTTTCCCGAGCGGCTCTTACCTCCAGCCCTGTCTCCCGAAGCTCATGCCATGCCTTGCGCCCGTCTTCTTTCTGTTGCAGCAAAAAAAAAAAAAATCCCAGCGGGAAGAAAACGGCGAATAATCCCCCCCAAAAATCCCCGTTGGCAAAGGGGCCGGATCCCGCCCGGCCCCCGCCCCAACCCCGCCAAACAACAGGAAAAATAAGCGGGGAGTGGAGGGGGGGAATGGGGCCGGATCCGGATCCGGGGGGATGGAGAAGGGGGGCCCTGCTGCCAGCCAGCCCCGGGAGCGGGGAGCACACGCACACGCGCGTTCGCACACACGCACACGCGTGTCACCGGCCGAGCCCGTTAAAGGGACACCGACACCGGCGGCGGGGACGGAGCGGCACCGGGAGAGGCGAGGTGAGGGTGCGGGACACGGGAATGGGGCTGGGCTGGCAGCTGGGAGTGCAGGCAGAGAGGGTGGTGGGTGGGGGAATGCAGGGGTGGAAGGATGGGGGATGGAGGGAGGGATGGATGGATGGATGGGGGGATGGAGAGGTGGAAGGATCGAAGGAGGGATGGAAAAATGGAGGGAAGAATGGAGAGATGCAGGGAGAAATGGAGGGGTGGAAGGATGAATGGAGAGATGAGGATGGAGGGGTTGGAGAGGATGGAGGAATGAAGAAATGGAGGGGAGAATGGTGATGGAATGAAGAAATGGAGGGGAGAATGGTGATGGAGGGGTGGAGGAGGAAATGGAAGCATGGATGGAGGGAGGGATGGAGGGATGGGGTGGCTGGAGAAATGGAGGGAGGGAGGGTTGGAAGGCTGAACGCAGGGATGGGTGGAAGGCTGGATGGACAGACGGATGCTTGCTCTGGCTCTCTCCCCAGCAGGGCATGGCAGGCTGGAGATCCTGGTGCACATCCTGCTGCAGACCCTGCTCACCCCAGCAGCCACCTCGGGCTCTGTGACAGCCCCTGGGGCACAGCGGTGACACTGGACCCTGTGCCAGCACCCCCAGGGGCAGTGGGCACCCATGCCAGGCTGCTGTGCCCACATCCTGGGGGAATCACCCTGTCCAGGCTGCTGTGCCCAGATCCTGGCAAGAATCACCCAGCCCGGGCTGCTGTGCCCACATCCTGGGGGAATCACCCATGCCAGGCTGCTGTGCCCACATCCTGGGGGAATCACCCATGTCAGGCTGCTGTGCCCAGATCCTGGCAGGAATCATCCATGCCAGGCTGCTGTGCCCGTGTCCTGGCAGGAATCACCTGCCCCAGCCACCTCTGGCACTGAGACCTGCTGGGGGTGTCCCACTGCTGTCCCCCATGTCCCAGCACCCCCAGCCTGGCCCCAGCTTCCCCCTGCTCCCCAGACTGGAGGGAGCAGCTCAGCTGGCACATTTAGCCCTGTCCCCTGTGCCTTGCCCTGGCACAGCCCCGTGAGCAGCAGGTCCAGCCCGGCCCTGGGGAGGCGCAGGGAGCGGCTGCAGCCGGCGCTGCCTCCTGCTTCCATTATTGATAAGGCAGGTTGGGTTTCACCCTGCAGCTGGGAGGGGGCTTGGGGGAGGAGACTGTGCTCACACACTCACACTCACACACTCACACTCACACTCACACTCATACTCTCACACTCACACTCACACACTCACACTCACACTCACACACTCACACTCACACTCTCAGCACACCCTGCCCAGTGGGTGACACATGCTGGAGGGGACAGCACCTGCAGGGATGTGTGGATCCAGGCCTCTTGCTGGTGCCTCGTGTTTCCCCATCCCCTGAGGAGCTGCAGGTCCTTCTCCCCACAGTTCCTCATCCCCTCAGCAGTGCCCTGTGCCCCGTGGTCCCCAAGGAGCTGTTCCAGGGGAATTGGGACCTGCAGCAGCCTGGGAGCAAGGCTGTGGTGCAGCCCTTGGGGACACCCTGCACCCAGAGCACGCCAGGTGGGAGGCACTGGGAGCCACTGGGGCCCTGCATGGTCCCTGATGTCCCCTTCTCCTGGCACATTGTCACTAACCTTTGCCACATCCAGGACTCAGAGGGGACAAATTGTTGTGGCCCCATGTCCTGGGCACATTTTCATGCCAAGAAAGCTGAAAACTCCTTCAACAGGAGTCACCCCTGGGCAAGAGGAGACTCCAGGTGTGTGTGTGTCCCTGGGGAAGGGGACACAGCTGGGGTGCCACCAGTGCAGGGGTACCCACACCTGGGTGCCTGATGTGGGTGCTGCTCACCCCAACTCTCCCTGCAGCCACAGGGTGTAGGAGTGACAGAGGGTAGGGTGGTGGGGTTGGAGACAGAGATCTCTGCAGCCAGGTCAGGAACTTGGGGTTTATTGCAAAGGGCCTGGGGGCAGGGCCCTGCTGGGAGCTGCCAAACACAGCTCAGAGCAGGCTGAGAGAAGAGAGGGGGAGAGAGGATGAGAGGGTAAGAGGGTAAGAGAGTGAGGTTCCCATTAAAATACAATAAATCTTCTTCTATGTTGAATATTCTAATTCTCACTAACCAATCTAGTACAAAATACAAATCCTATAGCATTTCCATACAGCCTGTAAGAATCATTACATTACCATACTGTGTTACATTTTAAACCCTATAAACTCCTCTTTGGACCCCTTCTGCCAAGCTGTAGGGTCTGCTCTGACCCTTGGGCCTGTCTGCAAGCAGAGGGTGTTGTTCCATCAAAAGGGGATTACCTTCAGCTGGCCACACCATTGTTTTGCAGTTGTTCAGTAACTGAGGGATCTCAAAGCTTGCTTTCATTTCAATCTCACTTATAGTTTCTATATTCTCAAAATCTTTTGCCAGACAATCATATCTATAAGTCTTTCCTGTTTCATCTTCCCCCAACAACAGGTCACCATCACAATCCTCCTGAGCCCCCTGCTCCCTGTCCCCAGTGGTGGTGCCAGAGTCCCCACGCTCAGGCCGGGCTGTCACCAGAGCTGGGTGACAATGGCTCCCGCAGCCCCTGCAGCACCCCGGGATGCCGGGTCTCGCCCCCAGGGTGTCCCAGGGCTCCGGGAGGCCGGGCCGGGCCGTGCCGCTGCCGGAGCGGCGGGGCCGGGCTGGACCGCAGTGCGCCGGGGCCGTCGCCGCAGCAACCGCCGTCGCCTAGCGCCGCTGTCTCCCGGTAACCCGTCGCCTAGCAATGGGGGATTTTTCACAGCTCGGGATGAAGAGTTGAAAGTTATTTTTAGCCCGGGTTGCGAATCAATAGGCAGCTCCATTCGCTGCCCGCAGGATGCACACGTGGGAAGGGGGGGAGCAGGGGGGTCTGTCCAGCCTGGGGTCACCCCCGGCTCAGCCCCATCTGTGCCCGCCCCACAGGGCCCAGAGCTCTCCCTGCCGAGGGTCTGATTCCCCCTCGGGCTCCCCCATCCAGGCCATGTGTGGGTGAGGACGTGGTGGCTTTCAGGCTTCTGTGGGACCCTCACAGAGATGGGGTGGCCACACTGCTGCAGGGACCACTGGACCCTCTTCTCACCCTGGGGACCCTCATCTTATTGTGAGGACTCTCAACCAACCATGACAACTCTCCAGCTTCTGAGAGCCTCATCCTTTCATGGGAACCTACTCCCACTAGTGTGGACCCCACCTTGCCATAGGACCCTCACCTTACTGTGGTGACCCCCATCTTGTCATGGGACTCCATTTTGCCGTGGGACCCCCACTTGGCCATGGGACCCGCACCTTACTGTGGTGACCCCACTTTCCATGAGACCCCCACCTTGCCATGGTGACCTCCACCTTGTCATGGTGACCCCATCTTGCCATGGGACCCCCACCTGGCTATGGGGCTCCTACCTTGCCATAGGACCCCTGCCTGGCCATGGGACCCCTACTTTGCCATGGGATCCCCACCTTGCCATGGGACCCCCACTTGGCCATGGTGATCCCCACCTTGCCATGGTGACCCCATCTTGCCATGGGACCCCCACCTGGCCATGGTGACCCCACCTGGCCGTGAGATCCCTTCTTTTCCACATGGACCCCTACTTTGACATGTGGACCCCATCTTTGCTTTGGGGATCCCCACCTTGCTGTGGTGGGGTTCCTTTGCTCTGCCCTGAGGACCCTCACACCTCCTGAGAGACCCCCTGAGCTCCCCAAGCCCTCCCAGGGCACATTCCTGCTCTCAGGGACACCATCCTGGGGGTCTGGGTGAGAGGGGACACAGAGAGGGGACAGAGCCGGCTGGGTGCCATGCAGAGGAGCTCAGGGTGTCCCTGCACATCCCCAGGGATGGGGTGGTAGCTGAGCTGAGGTTCCTGAGCTATTTTTTCAAGCCAAGGTGGGTGCCTCCCACAGGCACAGCTCCTTCGGGTGCTGGGAGAGCTCCCCACGCAGCCCGGGGGGATGGGGAGCTCCATGGGGACAGCCTGGGGACCCCAGACCCTGAGCAGCCCTCCAAGCTGTCCCAAATGTCCCTTCTGCCTTTCCAGGAGGGTTTTTTTGGGCACAGCCTAGCCTGGAGCATCCCTGCCCATGCCATCCCCACAGTGGCACAGCGTGGAGTGCCCAGAGCCACCCACAAGGACATTTTGGGGGCAGCGTGGAGGTCCCAGGGACTTGCCAGAAACTCCAGAAGTGGCAGGGGGAGCTGTCTAGCAAAGAGAAACTTTGGGGTGACCCATCAGGGATAGACAGGATCATTGAAATCCAAGGAAGCTCCTGCAGGAGTGCTCTGAGAGCGGCAGATGGGTCAGGGACAGAGCAATCCTGGTGAGTCACGGCGGATCCGGAGGGGACAGAGAACGCTCAGGGAGCTGCAGGAATGTGTCTGGTGGGGAAAGGCAGGGAGAGCTGGGGCCATCCAGCCTGCAGGAAACCTTCTGGCATCCTGGTGGCACCTAAGGGACCTTGGGAGGGTGGCAGAGAGAGCTTTGGCCAGGAACTGCAGAGGGAGAAGAAGGTGTAGGAGTGACGGGGGGGGTAGGACCGTCAGGATGGAGACAGAGATCTCTGCAGCCAGGTCAGGAACTTGGGGTTTATTGCAAAGGGCCTGGGGGCAGGGCCCTGCTGGGAGCTGCAGCCACAGCTCAGAGCAGGCTGAGAGAAGAGAGGGGCAGAGAGGATGAGAGGGTGAGAGAGTAAAAGGGTAAGAGAGCGAGGTTCCCATTACAATACAATAAATCTTCTTCTGTGTTGAATATTCTAATTCTCACTAACCAATCTAGTACAAGATACAAATCCTGTAGCATTTCCATACAGCCTGTAAGAATCATTACATCATCATACTGTGTTACATTTTAAACCCTATAAACTCCTCTTTGGACCCCTTCTGCCAAGCTGGCAGGGTCTGCTCTGACCCTTGGGCCTGTCTGCAAGCAGAGGGTGTTGTTCCATCAAAAGGGGATCACCTTCAGCTGGCCATGCCATTGTTTTCCAGTTGTTCAGTAACTGAGGGATCTCAAAGCTTGCTTTCATTTCAATCTCGCTTATAGTTTCCATATTCTCTGAATCTTTTGCCAGGCAATCATATTTATAAGGCTTCCCTGTTTCATCTTCCCCAACAAAGGGGAAGCAGTTTTCAGCTGGAGGAGGGTGCGCTCAGATGGGATAAAAGGAGGAATCGCGCTGCGGGGGAGGCGCTGAGGAGCTGGAGGAGCTGTGGGTGCCCCGGGGGTGGGGTGAGATGTCCGTGCCCGGGGCAGGGCTGGCACCGGGGGCTCCTCGGAGGTCCTGGGGGATGAGCTGAAGTTCTGTTCCCCTGCGGGACGCGTTTTCCCCAGCCCCAGCCGAGCCCCCCGGGTCCCCTCTGGCCACGGTCACCAGAGGGCACTGCGAGCCCGAGCATCCCCGAGCGGCCCCGGGGCAGAGCGGACACGCAGCGGGGCCCGGCGGTCTCGGGGAGCTCGGACCCTCCCTCCTCCCCAGCGCCACGGGCACAACCAGCCGGGGACAGGGAGGGGTGGCCAGGGGACACGGGGGACAGCAGGCCGAGCTGCGGGCACGGCTGGCTGCTCGGTGTGTGCCCGGCGGTGCCACCCCACGGGCTCTCCCGAGCTCTGAGACCATTGCGGGTGCTGCGGGAGCCGTGCCCGCTCCGGCTCAGCCCCCGCTGCTGTGTCTGCTCCGAGGGGGCTCCGGGACCCCCCGATGGCCGTGCCCGACCGCGGGGTGCCCTCTACCCTGCTCCACAGGGCTGCTGGAGCAGCTGGGGCCGGGCTTTCCCCAGTGACACCAGTTAAGGTGGGTCGGGGGCTGTGGAGGGGGCCAGGGGCGCAGCCTCACTCCGGGGCGCTCCTTCAGGGCAGACACTGCCATGTGGCACCGTGTGCCACCTCCCTGCATCCCAGGGTGTTCCGAGGGAACATCCCACAGGGTGCTGAGCACCGCGCTGGGGTCAGTCCCGGTGGGGAGAGGTCACCAGTGCCTGGTGCCACCCTGCCCCTGGTGCCACGCATCCCCTGGTGCCACCTCGGACCTGGCACCTGGCCAAAGCCATGGTGGGCTCCCTGCCTGCCCAGCTCCGAGCCCAACCGGTTCCACTCCCTCACCGTGTCACCGTGTCGGCTCTGGGACCGTGTCCCCGCCATGCCGGGGTCTCTGTGGTCCCCCAGGGCACAGCCAGACCCTGGGCCCAGCCACCCCCGGCAAACCCCCGATGGCAGCTGGTGGGCTCAGCCCAGCGACCCCCAGCCCGGCCCCCCGACACCCCGACATCCCGACCCGCTCCACCTTAACCCACTGCCCCTCCGGCCCCTCATTTGCCACGGATTCCAGCAGCATGACTTCTTTCAGCATCATTTCATGGCCAGAGGGCTGTGAATCCTCCTCTCCCCGCCTGCCTCCCCCTCCCCTTCCCCCCTTCCCCTCTTTCTTCCCACCATCCCAATTTACAATCCCTCATTTCCATTCCGCTCCACCCTCTGGCCGGGGACTTTGTTCCCGGCCTGTATCATCCCATCCCAATTGTTCCGTGTTTATTTCAAACATTTTGGCGGGCTGTCACTGGATGGAAACTTAATTAATGGTGTGGTCTGCAGTGGTGGCACAATAGCGGCGGGAAGGGAGGGGGTGGAAGGCAATCCCCAGGTTTGGAGGGGGGAAATTCGGGGTTCGGATGTGCCCGACCCCCGTGTCAGGCCCGGTGCCACGTGCCCGGGCTCCCCCGTCAGAAAATGTCTCCGTGGGGAGGGGGATGCTGCTGGTGATGGGGGAGGATATAAGGAGGTTGGGGGGGGAGTAAATTTTGGAGTACGCAGTTCTAGGGGGTGTAAAGCAGGGGGGTCCAGTGTGGGATGTGTATGGCCTGGTTTGTCTGTAGCCTGGGGTGTGTATAGGGTGGGGTGTGCATAATTTGGGGTGTATGGAGCCTGGGGTGCAGGGACCCATGATGTGTGTAACTCAGATCTGGGGGGTGTGAGACTTTTGGGGTGCACAGTTCTGGGGTGGGGGTAAACCAGGGGGCTGCAGTGTGGGGTGTGCATAGCATGGTTTGCCTGTAGCCTGGGCTATGGGCTGGGCTGTGTAAGGGTTGGGGTGTGCACAATTTGGGGTGTATGGAGCCTGGGGTGCAGAACTCGGGGTGCAGGGACCCGTGGTGTGTGTAACTCAGGGCTGGGGGGTGTGGACTCTTGGGGCGCACAGTTCTGGGGTGGGGGTGTGTAAACTGCAGTGTGGGGTGTGCAGAGATTGGGGTGCACCCAGCCTGGGGTGCCCCACATGTGCATGCCTTGGGGTGCCCATGGCCGTGGGTGTGAATGTCCTGGCCTGGGGTGTGTGCAGATGTTGGGGTGCACAGTTCTGGGGGGATGCACAAACCAGAGAGCTGCACTCTGGGGTGTTCATAGCCCAGGCCATGCCTGTGCCTGGCTGTGCACAGCTGGGGTGTCTATAGACAGAGCTGGAGTGTGAAAAATTGGGGTGTACCTGGCCTGGGGTGTCTATAGCCAGGGTGTGCACAGTTGGGGTGTGCACAGTTTGGGATGCACACACAGTTGGGGTGTTCACAGTTTGGGGTGTTCACACTTAGGGTGTGCACAGTTTGGGACATGCACAGTTTGAGATGTGCATAGTTTAGGATGTGCACAGTGTGGGGTGTGCACAGTTTGGGTGTGCATCGTTTGGGATGTGCACATTTGGGGTGCACACAGTTTGGGTGCACACAGTTTGGATGTGCACAGTTTGGGGTGTTTGCAGTTTGGGATGTGCACAGTTTGGGATGTGCACAATTTGGAATGTGCACGGTTTGGGGGTGCACAATTGGGGTGTGCACGTTTGGGATGTGCACAGTTTGGGCTGTTCGCAGTTTGGGGTGTGCACAGTTTGGGGTGTGGACAATTGGGGCGTGCATATTTTGGGGCGTGTACAGTTTGGATGCTCACAGTTTGGGGTGTGCACAGTTTGGGCTGCGCACAGTTTGGGTGTCCACAGTTTGGGTGTTCACAGTTTGGGGTGTGGACAATTGGGGCGTGCATATTTTGGGGCGTGTACAGTTTGGGATGCGCACAGTTTGGGATGAGCACAGTTTGGGCTGTGCACAGTTTGGGATGCGCACAGTTTGGGTGTTCACAGTTTGGGGTGTTCACAGTTTGGGGTGTGCACAGTTTGGGTGTGCACAGTTTGGGCTGTGCACGGTTTGGGGTGTTCCCAGCTCGGCGTGCTGTAGCCGTGGCTGTCACAGCCTTGGCCCTACAGAATTCAGGGTGCACCCCCGGGTGTGGATCTGACCCTGGGGTACCCCAGCCCTGCTCCGGGTCCCGTCCCCTGCCTCAGCCGGTGTCCCCATGCGGACAAGCCCGGGGGGCTCCGGGGATGCGGCTGCGGTGGATGCCGGTGGCCCCGGCCGTGGGGAGGGGGCCTGGGGGGGCGGCTCCCGTGCCCGCCCCTGCGCCGCCATTGGCGGAAAGTTCGGGGCGCGACGCGGGGTGGTGGCCGCGCTCCCCCGTCCGTCCCCGCGGCCCCGGCCCCGGTGCGGGCAGCGCTGCGGGCAGGGCCGGGCCGGGCCGGGCCGCCCGGGGCCCCGCGGGCGCGGCCATGTGGGCGCTGCGGGCGCTGTGCCTGGCCGGGCTGGGGGCGGCCATCGGCGGCGGGGCCGCGGATCAGTGCAGCTGGAGGGGCAGGTAGGCACCGGGAACACCGGGAATACCGGCACCGGGAACCCCGCACCGGGAACCGGCACCGGGAGCAGCGGCCCGGGGCGGGCGGGGGTGGCACACGCGGGTCCTGGATCAGGCAGGTTCGTGGGGGATGGGCATTCTGCTCTCCCCGCCCCCCCATCTCCATCTCAGGGCTGAACCCCTCCCGCATCCGTGCTTAGGGTACGGGTGGGATGCTGGGAATCCGCGCCTGCCTCAGTTTCCTCAGCCCTGGGTGCGGCTCCCCCCCGCTTTGAGGGATGCTGGTCCCCCCGGGGGGCTCCGCGCCTCTCCGGCACCCCCTCCCTGAGCCCCCCACCCGTGAGACCCATCCCTGCGGCCGGCGGGACCCCCGGCAGGGCCCTGAGCATCGCCCGAAGGCGCCGGACTCGGAACAAAGAGCCGGGGCCCGCCAGAGGGGCTGCCCCACGCGGGGGGCCTGGGGAGACACGGGGGCCACGCAGCCACCAGCGCCCTGTCCGGGACAAAGCGGCCCCCGAGTGTCCCCGCTGTCCCCAGGCCAGAGTCCAGGCCTATCCCCCCCCCGTGCCGCGGGAAAGAAGCGGCTCCAGGCATCGTGTGTGAGAGTGGGACCCCGCATCCCCTGGGGATCCCCAAAGTGGGAACAGGGGACCCCGAGTTGTGGCCACCCTGGGGGTGGTTTGGGAGCCCACACTGCGTGTGAGGGGGTCTGTGCTGCTGCACCCCCCGCCCCTTAACTCCTTCCAAATAGTGCTGGGGGAACACAGGCACCCCTAAATGATGCGGTTGAACCCCAAGTCCAAGTTATCGAGGGTTTGGTGCTGTTCCTGCCTCTGTGGAGGGGCTGCTCGGGAGTGCGGGGGGACACGGGCCGGGGGTCCCTGTCACTGGGGGTCCCTGTCACTGACGCGGTGCTGTGCCCACAGCGGGCTGTCACAGGAGGCTGGCAGCGTGGAGCAGCTGTCCCTGCACTGCGCCGAGGGCTCGCTGGAGTGGCTGTACCCCACGGGGGCCCTCCGCCTCCGCCTGGCCCCCCGCCTGCCGCCCACCAGCGCCGCCGTCAAGGGCCGGAGCCCCCCGCGCGTCACCGCCTGCATCAAACCCAGCGCGACCTTCCGGGGGGCTCAGCTCTACCTGGAGAGGGAGGGGGGCCTGGAGCTGCTGCTGCCCGAGGCGCCCCGGCCCCACGCCCGCTGCTTCAGCTGGCTGCCCCACGAGAAGGTGGCGCTGTTCCTGCAGGCCACCCCGCAGCCCGACATCAGCCGCCGCATCGCCGCCTTCCGCTACGAGCTGCGGGGGGACTGGCTGGCCCGGCCCGCGCTGCCCTCCGCCAGCCTCGGCAGCGAAGGTGAGCCCGAGCCCTGCCTCAGTTTCCCTGGCCCTGCAGGGTGCCCGCGGGTGGGGAGGGGCTGGGTCGGGTGTTGTGTCACCTGGGGGTGACAGGCTGTGCTTGGCTCCGCAGGTGCGTGCCGGCCGTGCAATGACACCGAGATCCTGATGGCCATTTGCACTAGTGACTTTGGTGAGTGCCACCCTGGGCAGGGGACGGGGGATGGACCCGAAAGGGAAACTGGGATGGGATGGGATGGGATGGGCTGTGCAGAGTGCTGCTGGGGATGGGGATGGAGCTGGGAATGGGAATGGGAATGGGAATGGGAATGGGAATGGGGATAGTAATGAGAATGGGAACAGGATTGGAGATCAGGATGGAAATGGAGATTGAGGTGAAGATGGGGACTGGGGTGGAGATGAGGATGGGAACAGGGATGGGGATGGGAATGGGCATGGGAAAGGGAATGGGAATGGGAACAAGGTTGGAGATTGGGATGGAAATTGGGATTGAGATGAAGATGGGGACTGGGGTGGAGATGGGGATGGGAACAGAAGTGGGAATGGGAGTGGGAATGATAATGGGAAAGGCAATGACAATAGGAATGGGAACAGGGATGGGGATTAGAATGGGGATGGGAATATGGTTGGAGATTGGGATGGGGATGGAGATGAAGATGGGCACTGGGATGGAGATGGGGATGGGAACAGGAGTGGGAGTAGGAATGAGACAAGAACAGAGATGGGGATAAGGATGGGAATGAGAATGCAGGTGGGTACAGGGACTGCAATGGGGATGAGGATGGGAATGTGCACAGGGACAGTGATGGAGATGGGATGGAGACAGGGATGGGGACAGGACTGGGGATGTGGATGGCAGTGGGGACAGGGTCAGGGCCAAGCTGACAGCCTCCCACCTTCCCTGCAGTCATCCGCGGCAGCATCCGGAGCGTGTCCAACGACGCCGAGCTGCAGGAATCCATCATTGGGGTGAGCGCCACGCGCATCCACCGGCAGAAATTCCCGCTGTTCCAGGCAGGCGGGCGGCCGGGCCGGCCCGTGGGCAGCATCCGCACCCCCCTGCGCTGCGGGGTCCGGCCGGGCCCCGGCTCCTTCCTCTTCACGGGCTGGCTGCACTTCGGGGAGGCCTGGCTGAGCTGCGCTCCGCGCTACCGGGACTTCCAGCGCATCTACCGGGGCGCCCAGCGCACGCACCAGAACCCCTGCGAGTTCCCCGTGGACTGAGCGGCTCCGGGAGTGCCGGGGGAGCCGGCCCTGCCTCACTGAGAGCATCCCGGGGACACGGGGACGGTGCCCGGAGGGAGCGTGGCACACGGAGCTGGGCTGGGGCAGCACCCGCCGGCGGGCTGGGGGGTTTGGGGAAATCCTGCTGGAAGGGAAGGGATTTGCCCAGGGTGCCCAGGGAGCTGCCTGGGTGAGGGGTGCAGCAGAATGGGGAGCGGGGTGCTGCATGCTCAGGGGGTGCTGTGGGCACAGTGGGTCTGGCCAGACCCCGGCAGGGCTCGGGGCGGGTGGCCGTGGTGGCCGGTCCAGGGACACGGAAGGCACAGAAGGGAGTGGAAGGGCCAGGAGATGGATCTGTAAAGTTGAGGGGTGGAAGGGGGAGCAGGCAGCGGTGAGCCTGGCCCTGGCACGGGCAGGAGCTGCGGGGCGGATGCCAAGGAAGAGGAGAGAAGCTGAAGGGAATGAAGGGAACAGTGAGGTGGGAGGAAGGCTGGCGGGGGAGCAGAGGTGTCCTTGGCACGGTCAGGGCAGGACCAAAGCACTGACACAGGAAGGTGCCACAGGAACAGGGAGAGGTGACAGTGCCACCGTCCCTGGCAGCCCTGGGTGAGCAGGGCAGGCCGTGCCAGCCATGGGAACTTTGGACCTGGGGGTGGGGGGCATCGTATGTGCACTAAAGTTATAACGATACCAAATTTGTGACTTCTTTTTTATAAACTAAGCTGTATTTGTAGCGTGTGGCTCCTGTTTTTAACAAGCTGAGCAAGATGTTCAGTGTGTGCCACCTGCTCCCCTCTGTGCCAGCTCCAGCTATGACCCTGGGGCTGGAAACAGCCCTGATACCTGGACATCTCTCTGTATGGAAAGAGATTTATTGCAGTTTGCACATTCTGCACCCCAGCGATCCCCAGCACTTTGGGGTCCCTCTCCCCGGGTATCCCTGGTGTGGGGACCAGGGGCGGGTGGCTCCGTGCTGGGTGGGTGACCCTGCTGGAGGAGCCGCTGTCAGCGCTGATTCTCGTCAGAGCCAGCGGCCACAAGGCCTCTTTGTGCCTCATTGTGCCCGATTGTGCCGCGGCAGCATCCCAGCCCTGCCCTGCCCTGCCCACCCCGCCGGCCCCGGCACCGCTCCCCTGGGAATGCCGAGGGGGACGGGACCGCGGGGCAGGGCTGGGACGTGGGAATCCTGCACGGGGATGGGGAACAGAACCCCCGGGCAGGGAAGGGACACGGAATCCCCAGCCAGCAAACCTCGGCTGGGATGGGGCACAGGAGCCTCCCAGACAGGGATGGGACAGGGAGCAGCCAGTTGGGAATGGAGCACGGGAACCCCCCCAGATATGGGACATGGGGCACCCAGGTGGGAATGGGGCACTGGAATCCCCCTAGACATGGGACATGGGAATGGGGCACTGGAACCTGCCTAGACATGGGGCACCCAGATGGGAATGGGGCACTGGACCTCCCCTACACATGGGAATGGGGCACTGGAACCCCCCCTAGACATGGGACATGGGGCACCCAGATGGGAATGGGGCACTGCATCCCCCTAGACATGGGACATGGGAATGGGGCACTGGAACCTGCCTAGACATGGGGCACCCAGATGGGAATGGGGCACTGGACCTCCCCTACACATGGGAATGGGGCACCCAGATGGGAATGGGGCACTGCATCCCCCTAGACATGGGACATGGGAATGGGGCACTGGAATCCTCCTAGACATGGGACTCCCAGTTGGGAATGGGGCACTGGAACCCTCCTAAACATGGGACATGGGGCACCCAGCTTGGAATGAGGCACTAGAACCCCTCTAGATATGGGACAGGGGCACCCACATGGGAATGGGGCACTGGAACTCCTCTAGATAGGGGACATGGGGCACCCAGATGGGAATGGGGCACTGGAATCCCCCCGGGACATGGGAATGGGGCACAGCACCCCCAGCCAGGGACCTTTCCTCCCAACCATTGATGTCACAGGGCTCAGCACAGGAAATCTCAGCCCCTGAGCCCCCCCAAATCCCTCGAGCCCCCCAAACCTCTCAAGCAAAGCTCCTGCCACGTCTGCTTGTCATTAAAACCTTTCCAATTTTGTTTCAATAACACCTTTTCAAATATCACCAGCCAGGATGAGCTGCTGCTGAGTGCTCGGTGCCTCTGCTGACCACAATGTGCTTTTCCTTGCCAAAAAAAAGTTTCCAAAGAATGCTGTGGGCTTTGGAGCATAATTAAATATAAATATCTATATGTGTGTGTGTATAGAATGATCTGGCTGTGATAAGATCCTGGTGGGTTTGATACACAACACATGTTTTCCCTTGAGGAGAGTTTGCTGCTTGCTTTATGCTTTACTGCCAATTTTATACTTGGATATTTTCATTTTATCCTTTTTACTGCCCCATTTTGGGGCCGGGCTGGGCTCTGAGGGCTGGACCTGGCCCTGGGGAGGCTGGAGCTCCACGCTGGGCACTGCAGGATGCCAGATCCGAGCAGGAGCCAAGAGAGGCAGGGGGAAGGGGGAAGGAGTGGGAAACCCAGCGGAGGAGGAAAAATGAAGCTGGAAAAGCAATAAATGAGGTGCAGAGGGAATTGTGCTGCCCACGGCATCCTCTGTATGCGCGGGGGTAAATCACGGCTGCTCCGACCCCGCATTCCTCCCGGCTCAATGCCGGCGTTTAACCCGAGAGGCATCCGGCGCTTTTCTGCCCGCCAGCAAAACCTCTTGTTTTTCTTCCCATCTGTTTATTTGGCCAGAGCAGCTCGGTGTGCCGCTGCGGAAAGGGCTGGGACTGCGCTCCTTTGCTGGCATGGAGGTTTCTGGGCTGGTTTTGGTGCCCTCTGGCCCCTGTCAGGTTGGGTCGCTTCCCGCGGCTGTCACCGCTCAGCGCTGGGCCCTGGCCGGGGCACTGAGGCTTCCTGTGGGAGCATCGCAGGGATAACCATGCCTCAGTTTCCCCTCTGTGGGCTGGGGTAACAGCCCTTCCCTGGGGCTCTGGGAATCCCACAGCTCTGGGATCTCCATCCCAGCATTTCCCTGAAAGCAGAGCCCGGCCCTGGCCCAGACAAAATTCCTGCCCGGCCTCTTGGCACGGAGCTAGGCCGTGAAGGGTGAAAACACAATGAGACAAACTCCATGCTGGGGAATATTTCCTCCACAGGATGGAAAATGGGGTGGGAGGCAGCAGGGCCAGGGGAACCGGTAGGGGACAGTGAGTGGAGCTGGGGGGGTCAGGAGGGGCTCGGAGAGGGGTGACCACAGTGAGGGGTGAGCACAGTGAGGGGTGAGCATGGTGAGGGGTGAGGATGGTGAGGGGTGAGCACAGTGAGGGGTGAACAAAGTGAGGGGTGAGCACAGTGAGGGGTGAGCACAGTGAGGGGTAACCATGGTGAGGGGTGACCACAGCGAGGAGTGACCACAGTGAGGGGTGACCACAGCAAGGGTGACCATGGTGAGGGGTGAGCACGGTGAGGGGTGACCATGGAGAGGGGTGAGCACAGTGAGGGGTGACCATGGAGAGGGCTGAGCACAGTGAGGGGTGAGCACGGTGAAGGGTGAGCATGGTGAGGGGTGACCATGGTGAGGGGTGAGCATGGTGAGGGGTGAGCACGGTGAGGGGTGAGCACGGTGAGGGGTGACCATGGTGAGGAGTGACCAGAGTGAGGGGCGATCACAGTGAGGGGTGAGCACGGTGAGGGGTGAGCATGGTGAGGGGTGACCATGGAGAGGGGTGACCACAATGAGGAGTGTAACAGCCCCTGGCAGGACAGGGCAGGGTGGCCCCATGGTGCCCACCATGGACACAACCCAGATCTGCTCCAAAAGCCCCCCACTCACCAGCCTGCCCCACACGGGGTGGGATTTGGGGCAGCCTCAGAGAGCAGCGCCCCACAGCAGCTCCCTGTGTGCCCAGGGACGTGCCTGGGGCTCCTCATTCCGTGGGATCAGCCCCATTGTGCACCCACAGCCCAGCTCCAGAACCTCCGGGGGGCCGTGCAGCCCCTCGGCCACGCCGTGGGTGGGCATTCACACGGGATGGCAAACCCCGAGCGGTGGCACTGCCGCTGTCCCCGTCCCTGTCCCCATCCCTGTCACACAAAGGCAGCCGCCGTTTCCCGCCATTTCCCCCTCCAGCCCCTCTCCCCCCTCTCCTGCTCCCTTCGCCCTCCTCCTCCTCCTCCTCCTCCTCCTCCTCCTCCTCCTCCTCCTCCTCCTCCTCCCCGGCTGCCGGATGAAAGCCCGAACGTGTGAATCGCAAAGGGAGCCACAAAGGCCGCTCAGCCCCCCCCTGCGGCCCCCAGCACCGAGCGGGGACCCCCGGGACCCCCGGGCAGCCTGCCCACCCTGCCGGCAGCACCCCGGGGCTCAGGGGGTGCCGGGGGACACAGGGGTGGCTCTGAGATCAGGGATCCCCAGTAGGGTCAGGATAATGTTCCTGGGGTTCAGGGATGCCCTACACGGTCAGGGTGATGTCCCCGGGGTTCAGAGATCCCCAGTAGGGTCAGGATGATGTCCCTGGGGTTCAGGGATCCCCAGTAGGGTCAGGGTGATGTCCCTGGCGTTCAGCGATCCCCAGTAGGGTCAGGGTGATGTCCTTGGGGTTCAGGGATCCCCAGTAGGGTCAGGGTGATGTCCCCGGGGTTCAGAGATCCCTAGTAGGGTCAGGGTGATGTTCCTGGGGTTTAGGGATGCCCTACAGGGTCAGGATGAGCTCCCAGGGTTTGAGGATATCCCACAGGCTTGCATGATGCCCCTGGGACTATGGGAGCCCCATAAACTCAGCTAAAACCCCTGGGGCTCAGGGATACCCCATAGGGTCAGGACGATGCCTCTGGAGTTTAAAACTCAAGATGAAGCCCAGAGGGGTCCAGGATGCCCCAGAGGGTCAGGATGAGCCCCGGGGGGCCGGAGGAAACTCCACCCCACAGCCTTGGGGACTGATAACCCTGAGCGCACCCCCCATTGCTGCACCCCAAATCCCGGCATCAGCTCTGCCTCCAGCCCCATCCTGAGACCCGGGCAGAGCCAGGGAGGGATGCGGGGGCTGGAGGCGACCCCGGCCCGCCGCGGGGCCCCCTCGGCCCCTCACCCCCGTCCGGCTGCCGACAGCTGCAGGGAAGCGGCGTTCCCAGCACAGAGCCGCACATTCCTGGCGCTCGGGGCTGCTCTGCAGCCGCCGCGGCCCCGCCGGGGGAGGCTGCCCTGGGAAGGGGAGGATTAAAAACGCTTTGGCTGCAGTGACACATCGCAGCCGGTCCCCTCGCACGGCCATCTGCTCGTCCCGGCGCTCCGAGATGCTGCGGGCACCGCGAAAGGGCAGGAGGGACCGGGCACCCCCTGCTCAGTGCCAGGGCAGGAGGGACAGGGCACCCCCTGCTAAACCCAGGGGCAGGAGGGACCGGGCACCCCCTGCTCAGTGCCAGGGACAGGAGGGACCGGGCATCCCGGGCAGGGCAGGAGGGACCGGGCACCCCCTGTGTGAAAAATGCATGTATTTTATGATTGGCTTTTCGCAAATATTCAAATGAATATTATATGTGTTGTGTTAGAAAGTGATGCTGTATTAATTCTCTTAAGTACTGTGTTAAATATAGTTTTATTATAAAAATTGTTAAAATAGGAACTGTGCTATGTAGGATATTTTTTTTTAAAGAAAGGGCTTGCAGCGAGATAGCAGCCACAGGACACCTGAATCTTTCATAGAAAAAGAATTTATTGCCCTCTTATCAGAAG